CTCTTCTTGGATCTCCTTCTTCCCCTGGCGGGGCCCCTGAAAAGTTTCACAGCTGCTGCTTCTGCAGAAGAAGAGGCTGCTGCTCTGCAGCAGCTGGGGGCCCCCCTAGGCGTGGGGGCCCCCCCAGCTGCTGCTGCTGCGGGGGCCCCCCCAGCTGCTGCTGCTGCGGGGGCCCCCCTAGCTGCTGCTGCTGCGGGGGCCCTCGTGGAGGTCTGGCACGCTGCGCTCTCTCTTCAGCTGCATGCGCCGCTGCTTGCTGCTGCTGCTCTTCGGGCAGCTGAGGAGACTCTAATGCTGCTGCCGCTGGCCAGTAAGAGCCATTTTGCTGCTGCTGCTGCTGCTGCTGCTGCTGCTGCTGCTGCTGCTGCTGCTGCTGCTGCTGCTGCTGACCACTGCCCGTTCACTGCAGCACTCGCGCGAGCGCCGCTGCTGCGGTCTTAGGCCCTTCTGTGCTGTGCTGGCTGCCTTCACTGCTGCTGCTGCTGCTGCTGCTGCTGTTGCTGCTGCTGCTGCTGCTGCTTTTCACGCCCTGTGTGTGTCTCCTTCTGCCTTGTTTGAGTTGCTGCCATTGCCTGTGTGTGGGGCCCTGCTGCTGCAGCTGTGCTGCTGCTGCTGCGCTGCTGCTGCATGCATCTCACTGCTGCTTCCATTACCTACGCCGGCAAAACCCCACAAAATGTTTTCCTCCAAACAAACAGAGGCCCCTTAGGGGCCCCCTTTGGGGGCCCCCCTGAGGGGCCCCCAGCAGCAGAGGGGCCCCCAGCAGCAAAGGGGCCCCCAGCAGCAGAGGGGCCCCCCGAGAGCCTTGAGCTGTGCGCCTCTTTGCTGCTGCAGTCTGCTGAGCGTCTGAGCGAACTTGTAGGGGCCCTTTTCTGTGCATTTGGCCGAGGGTTTAGGGTTTAGGGTTTAGGGTTTAGGGTTTAGGGTTTAGGGTTTAGGGTTTGGGGTTTAGGATTTGGGGTTTAGGGTTTGGAGTTTAGGGTTTAGGGGTTGGGGTTTAGGGTTTAATAAGAATGACCTTTTATGTTGAGGTAGCCTTTTTGCCTGTTGCATTTGCCTGTGTACTTGGCTAGTGCTGCTAGGGTTTAGGGTTTAGGGTTTAGGGTTTAGGGTTTAGGGTTTAGGGTTTAGGGTTTACACAGGGGCCCTCTACCCTAAGGTTTCGTTTCGGAACAGTCGCAACGACAAGCATAACTATAAATATAAATATAAATATAAATATAAATATAAATATAAATATAAATATAAATATAAATATAAATATAAATACAAATGTAAATATAAATATAAAAATAATATAAATATAAATAAAATATAAATAAAATAAAGATATAAATTAAATATAAATTAAATATAAATGTCGAAGTTTTGCTTTTTGCTGCTTCAGGCTCTTCTGCTGCAGCCGCAGCACGCGGCGCTCGCCTTGGAGGCCTTTGCCCACATGGGCTTTTGTGTGAGGGTTTAGGGTTTAGGGTTTAGGGTTTAGGGTTTAGGGTTTCGGGTTTGGGGTTTAGGGTTTAGGCACTGGGGTTTACGGTTTACTGCATACGGTTTAGGGTTATGGCATAGGGTTTAGGGTTTAGGCTTTAGGGTTTAGGGTTTGGAGTTGGGGTCCAGGATTTAGGGTTTGGAGCTTATGGCATAGGGTTTAGGGTTTAGGGTTTAGGGTTTAGGGTTTAGGGGGATCGAGTTAAAGTGGAGACAAGTGCATTTTGAACATTATTTGTCTTTTTCTCTTTTTGTTTCCTCGTTGAACTTTGGATTAAATTTCATTTTTAATTTTTTTGATTTCGCGAAGTTTAAAAAAAGTAATCAATTAAACTCATTTCTTCTAAAAACGCATGCATTTGGCCCCTTTAAAGTCCTTTAAATGCATGCATTTGGCATTTTAAAAGTCCTTTAAAATGCATGCATTTGGCCCTTTTAAGGACATTAAAATTGCATGCATTTGGCCATCTAAAAGCCATTAAAATTGCATGCACTTGGCCATTTAAAAACATTAAAATTGCATGCATTTGGCCATTTAAAAATCCTTTTTTGCTTTTTTTTTGTCTTTTTGTTTTCTAGCCAGGGGGCCCCACAGACTCTCTTCTCTATACACTTCTGCGCCGCTGCTCCCAACTAAGGTAAGGGACTGTCCCTTTGTCTCTGGGGGCCCCCCTGGGGGCCCCCCTGGGCCCCCCTGGGGCTCCCAGGGGGGCCCCCACGGGGGGCTTCAGGGGCCCCTGTGGCTCCCGGGGGGCCTCAGGGGGGCCCCCAGGGAGCCCATTCCAAGGGGGCCCCCAGGGGGGTCTTCATGGGGGCCCCCAGGGAGGCCCCGAGGGGTCCCTCCCCGCGTTGGGGCCCCTACTGGGGCCCCCACTTGGGCTTTTCTTGTGAGGGGCCCTGTGGGGGCCCCCATCGCTTGGGGCCCCGGGGGGCCCCTCTCTTCCCAGAGGCCCGTGGGTTCTCCCTGTGGGGCCCCTCAGAGGCCCCTCAAGGGCCCCTCAGGGGCCCCCGAGGGGCCCCTGAGGGGCCCCTGAGGGGCCCCGGGGGGCCCCTGTTTGGAGGGTACCTGAATTTAGGGGAGGGGCGTTTGCTGCTGCTGTGGGGCCCCTCAGTTGCGAAGAGGTTTTTGCAGTTTTGGGGGCCCTGGGGGCCCTTGGGGTTAAGGACTTGGAGTTGGTGGAGGTAAGAAACTCTTTGGTTTAGGGTTTAGGGTTTAGGGTTTAGGGTTTAGATGCTTTTGTTGATTTCCTTTTTTATCATTTTTCGTCTTTTTCCACTTCATTTTGCCCAGTGGGTTTTTCGGCTTTCTTAAACTCTTTTATCTTTTTATTTATTTCCTTTTCCTTTTCACTTCTTTTTTTGCTGCAGCAGCTGCTGCAGCAGGAGCTGCTGCTGCTGCTGCTGCAGCAGCTGCTGCTGCTGCAGCTGCTGCTTCCTTGTTTGTCCTTTTGCTGCAGGCCCTCAAAAAAAGGCTGCAGCAAACAGCAGCAGCAGCAGCAGCAGCAGCGCCGTTGCCGCTGCTGGTGGAGTCTTTGCTGCTGCTGCAGCAGCAGCAAAACTGCAGCGCGCGTGAGGTGTATGTACAGGTAAAAAGAAACTTTGATTTAAAAGTTCCATTTTCTTAATTTTATTTTGAAAACAAAATACTCTTCAATAACAGTTAAATTGAATTGTTTGTTTGCAATAATAATAATAAATAATAATTATAGTAATAATAATAATAATAATAAATAATAATAATAATAATAATAATAATAATAATAATAATAATAATAATAATAATAATAAAGTAGTAATAAGAGTGCTTTGTCTTCGTGCCCCAGCAGTGTATGTACACCCCGAGACTTTGGGTGTTTTGTACTTCCGTTTTGTTTTACTTCCTTATCTCTTTTTATTTCATTTTCTTTTTTTTTAATTTATTTTCTTTTTTAATTTATTTTAATCCTTTTTATCTTCTTTTTGTCTTTTTTTTGATATCTTTTTCTTTCCCTTTTTGCTTTTTTGTCTTTTAAATTTAACATCTCTTTCTGTCTTTCTCTATTTCTTTTTTTTCTAATTTTTCTTTCTTTCTTTCCTTTTTCTTTTCTCAATCTTTTTGCATCTCTTCTATCTTTTTTGGTTTCTTTCAGTTTCGTTTTATCTCATTGCTGCTGCGGCAGCTGCTGCTGCTGCAGGTGCTGCTGCTGCTGCTGCTGCAGGTGCTGCTGCTGCTGCATGTGCTGCTACTGCTGCTGCTGCTGCTGCAGCTGCTGCTGCTGCTGTGTGTGTGGGGCTGCATGCAGCTAGCCAGCCGGCCCCCCCAGGACTTCTTGTGTCTCAGTAAGAAACATTTAAATCAAAGAAGACCCTTAACTCAACCCTAGGGCCCCCACTATACTGGGGGCCCCCCTTTGGGGGCCCCAGGGGGGCCCCCCTCTTTGGGGGCCCCAGGGGGGCCCCCCTCTTTGGGGGCCCCTAGGGGCCCCCCTAATTGGGGGCTCCAGGGGGGCCCCCCTCTTTGGGGGCCCCTAGGGGCCCCCTGCTATGGAGACCCTCAAGGGGCCCCTCTGGGGGGCCCCTAAAGGTCTTCCTCATTGGGGGCCCCCAAAAGCCCTACTCTTTGGGGGCCCCCCAGGTCCCTTGGGGCCCCTTACTAGACCTAGCTGGGGGCCCCCTTTGAAAGGGCCTCGGGGGCCCCACGGGGCTCCTACAGTAGGGCCCCCAGGGCTGGATTTGTGAGGCCTTGCTGCTGCTGCTGCTGCTGCTGCTGCTGCTGCTGCTGCTGCTGCTGGTTTTGCTGCTGTGCTGCAGCAGCGCAGCAGGTGGAGGGGCTGCGCGCATGCATGCAGCAAGAAGGAGTTCCTGTCCCTTTGTGTCTTTCTGTCTCTTCTTCTTAACTTTAAAAGAGACACAAAGCCCCAAAAACCCCACAAAGCCATCTGCATGCAGCAGCAGATGCTGCTGCTGCAGCTGTAGCAGCAGCAGTTGTAGCAGCAGCGGCGCATGCTGCTGTTGCGGCAGCAGCATTAGCAGCTTGTGTTTCCTCTGCTGCTGCAGCGACAGCAGCAGCAGTGGTTCCTTTTAATTATGCTGCAGCAGCTGTTGTGCTGCAGCAGCTGTTGTGCTGCAGCAGCTGTTGTGCTGCAGCAGCTGTTGTGCTGCAGCAGCTGTTGTGCTGCAGCAGCTGCTGTGCTGCAGCAGCAAACGGGGAGCCGCCACAAAAGTCTCTTTTTGTCTCCAAAATTAAACTGTCTCCTTTTGTCTCTGCTGCTGCTGCTGCCTCTACTTCGCGCTGCTGCTGCTGCTGCTGCTGCTGCTGCCCCACGGAACCCCACAAGACCAACAGCAGGGGGCCCCCCAGGGGGCCCCCTGGGGGCCCCTCGCCCTAGCTTTTGAGGGGCCCCCGGGGGGCCCCCTGGGGGCCCCCACAGCTAGCTAGGGCCCACAGCTATACCTTAAGAGGGGCCCCTGGGGGCCCCCAGCTACAGGGGCCCTCTGGGGGCCCCCAGACAAATCTATTTGGGGGCCCCCAAGCCCTCTAGAGATACCTAGTTGGGGGCCCCCGGGGCCCCTAGACAAACACAATAGGGGGCCCCCCGGGGGCCCCCAAACCCCTTTTCTGTTAACCCCAAAACGCATTAAAACGCGGTCCTTTAAAAGAGACAGAAATAAAGAAACGGCTCTGTCTCGGGGGCCCCCCTGGGGCCCCCGGGGGCCCCCGGGGGCCCCACGATGGGCCCCTTGTCCCGCCCTTTCAGGGCCCGGAGGGGAAACTCTTGATGCAGCTCAGGAGTCCCCGGGGGCCCCTGGCAGCTCCGTGGGGCCCCTGCCAGGGGCCCCCAAAGGCCTTCTGGGGGCCCCCCTGGGGCCCCCTGGGGGGCCCCCCTGGGGCCCCCTGGGGGGCCCCCCGGAGCTCGCTGCCAGGGGCCCTCTGTAGGCAGGGTTTAAGTGGTGGGGTTGTTTTACTTTTGGGCGTGGGAGGCCGGGGGCCCCCTCAGGGGGGCCCCCCCGGCCTGGGTCTCCGGGGGCCCATAGGCCCCCCAGGGGGCCCCCCCATCTCGCCTGTCCCCCCCCGAGGGGCCCCTCCCCGAGTACCCTGAGGGGCCCCACCCCTCATAGTCCGGGGAGGGGCCCCTCCTGCGTGCCCTGCTTTCCCCATAAGCAGGGGGGCCCCCCTCGCGGGGGCCCCCCCCAGGGTACCGGCTTTCGCTGGGGGCCCCGTCGGGGGCCCCCATGTGCCTCCTGCGGGGCCCCGGGGAGTCCCCTCGGCGGCGGGGGCCCCCCCCGCTGTCGCCCCCGTGGGGGCCCCCATGGGGGCCCCCGTGGGGGCCCCCATGGGGGCCCCCCCCCCTCTCCGACCAAACAACTTCTCGCCTGCTGCTGCTCCATTGATAGTCTTCTTGCATGGCATGAGGGGGGCCCCCCGAGGCCCCAGTACCCTGTCTGCGGTCTCTGCCGGACCTGGGGGGGGCCCCCCCCTGGGGGCCCCCCCCCACGAGGGCCCCGTCGCCCAGGGGCCCCCCGGGGGCCCCCCGCATGTGCCTCTCCTGCACCACGTAGGGGGGGGGGCCCCCCATGTAGGGGCCCTCCCGGGGGCCCCTGGGGCTTCTGCTTCTTTGCCTTCTTCTGGACTCCATGGCCGGGGGGCCCCCCCCGTCGAGGGGGGGGGGCCCCTCGGCCCCGGGGGCCCCCCGGCCCCGCCAGTCCCCCTCAGGGGGGCCCCCCCCCAGCAAGTAGGGGCCCCCCGAGGAGGCCCTTCTTCTTTTGAAGTCCGAGCTGGGTCTTCGATCCCAGGATCGGGATCGGGATCGGGATCGGGATCGGTACCCCCGGCCCCTGCGGGGGGAGGCGGGCCTGCGGGGGGCCCCCCGGGGGCCCCCCGAGTTCGGCAGGGCCTCTGCTGCTGTTGCTGCTGCAGCAGCAGCAGCAGCAGCAGCAGCCCGCGAGTACCCCTCGTAGCTGCTGCTGCTGTGCTGCTTCGAGTAGTTTCTTTCTTTGTCTCCTTCGGGGGGCCCCCCATTTAAAAAGGACCCTGGGGGCCCCTCCCTCCTGCCATAGTCCCTTCTATAGGGGCCCTCGCGGGGCCCCTCGCGGGGCCCCTCGCGGGGCCCCTCGCGGGGGCCCTCGCGGGGGGCCCCCCTCCAGCTGGGGGGGCCCCCCTCGTACCCTCCCAGCCTCTCGGGGGCCCCCAGGGCCTCCTTCCCAGTGAACTCCCGGTACCCTGCATGCACGGGGGGCCCCCTCCACCCCGGGGAGGGGGACCCGGACCTGGGGGGCCCCCTGGAGGGTTCAGGAGAGGGGCCCCTCCGGCCCCTCCCCGGGGAGGGGCCCCTGCGGGTCCCGTACCCTCCCTCCTCCAGGGGGCCCCCCCC